ATAGACTCACACAGAGACCCATAAACTCACACAGAGACCCGTAGACTCACACAAAGACCCATAGACTCACACAGAGACCCATAGACTCACACAAAGACCCATAAACTCACACAGAGACCCGTAGACTCACACAGAGACCCATAGACTCACACAGAGACCCATAGACTCACACAGAGACCCGTAGACTCACACAGAGACCCATAGACTCACACAGAGACCCACAGACTCACACAGAGACCCATAGACTCACACAGAGACCCATAGACTCACACAGAGACCCACAGACTCACACAGAGACCCATAGACTCACACAGAGACCCGTAGACTCACACAAAGACCCATAGACTCACACAGAGACCCGTAGACTCACACAGAGACCCATAGACTCACACAGAGACCCATAGACTCACACAGAGACCCGTAGACTCACACAGAGACCCATAGACTCACACAGAGACCCATAGACTCACACAAAGACCCATAAACTCACACAGAGACCCACAGACTCACACAGAGACCCATAGACTCACACAGAGACCCATAGACTCACACAAAGACCCATAAACTCACACAGAGACCCGTAGACTCACACAAAGACCCATAGACTCACACAGAGACCCGTAGACTCACACAGAGACCCATAGACTCACACAGAGACCCATAGACTCACACAGAGACCCGTAGACTCACACAGAGACCCATAGACTCACACAGAGACCCATAGACTCACATAGAGACCCATAGACTCACACAAAGACCCATAGACTCGCACGGAGACCCGTAGACTCACACAGAGACCCGTAGACTCGCACAGAGACCCGTAGACTCACACAGCGGCCCATAGACTCACACAGAGACCCGTAAACTCGCACAGAGACCCGTAGACTCGCACAGAGACCCGTAGACTCACACAGAGACCCCGAGATTAGCCCAAACACTCTCCCACAATCCGTTCTCTTGGTCAACGGACTCATGGAGACCACACTTCTATGCCCGTCTTCAGGATTTTGCGCATCGCCTATCCCCGTCTCGCCGCGCAATTCCCAGAATTCCCTCTCAAAAGACGCCCGTGGGCCAAAACGCCTTCTTCGGGAACCGCCTCCATAGCTCGGGCCCATCTCTCGGAGCGTACAAAACAACGTCCCCGCACAAGGAGCCGTGCCGGAGTGAGGCCCCGTGCCTGTGACTGAGCGGACTGGTTTCCCCTCGCCGCTCTCGCTGGGGCATGCGGTCCCTACGGAACGGGCGACCCGAATTCGATTCCCGCTCACGGCCACCAAGACCTGCGACGATTACCTGAACTGGTACCTGGGCCGGCCTCCCCCTCAATGAGTACCTGGGTGCGGTGGCGCGTCAAACGTCGCCGCCACCGCGGAGAAGACGGCGGTAGAGCGTGGCGCTGACCACCACGCACGCCCGCCCGCCCATCCCTCCCTCCCGCCCTCCCTCCCCGGACCGCCGTTTTCCCCAAGCAGACATTTTAAAACGCGCACGCCGCGTGTCACATTGACGCGCGGACGCAGGCTGCATTCCTGCGTCCGTGCAAAAAGCCGCAGCGGGCGCTCGTGATGACAAAGCCGCCAGCGATTGCGACGAATGCGGAAGAGCGTAAAACTTCGAAATTCGCGAACTTTTTCTCGTCGTCGTCGTCGTCGGTGTTCCGGCGCGAGCACTGCGCAGGCGATTGCCGCGCGTCGTCGCGGGGGCGGCTTGCGAGGGAGCCATTCCCAAACGGTTCCCCGCAGGAGCTCCCCGGCGGGCGTGCGGCAAAACGCTGGGGGCATCGCGCGGAACAACGATGACAACAACAACGACGACGACGACAATGACAACAACAACGACAACAACACCAACAACGACGACAACACTGATAACAACTATACCAACAACAACGACAACGACAAAAACAACAACAAAAACAACGACAACAACAATAACGATGACAACAACGATGACAACAACGACGACAACACCGGCAACAACAACACAAGTCCAAAACGTCGTGAGAATTTTTTATTTTATGATGTTGTATTTTTATTATTTTATTATTTCCCTTCTACGTGACTTTACCGAAAGAACCAAGAAGAAGAACAGCACCAACGACGACGACAACACCGACAACAACTACAACAACAACACCCACAACACCAACACCAACAACAACACCAACGACAACAACAAACGCACGACCCCAAAAACCACGATCGCAGTTGGATCCGTGTTTTCGTTTTGACGTTTGGCCCTTTGCCGGTGAATGCCCCGGAGCGAACTCTTGGCGCGCTTGACGAGCGAGCGAGCGAGCGAGAGGGGGAGGGTGCTGCCGGGCCGCTTGGCGTTATTACCAGCGGGGGTTTTTTTCTTCCACTTTTGCCACTTGAGCATTTGATCGACTGCCAAAGCGGCTTGGCAGAGGGAGCAGCAGCAGCAGAAACACGCGCGTGCCGGGGAGACACCTGGCCACCGTCCAAGAGCTCGGCGCGGTGACGGAGAGGGGGATACCCCCACAGAAAGGAACACCCACACGGGCACGCGCGCAGACGCACGCCACGGACATCGCGTACACTGGATGTGCGCGCATGCCCACGACAAATCAAGAGGTCGCAAACGGGTTTTGATTCCTTACCCGTACCCGTACCTGGCCGCACCAGGGTCGCAAATGGGTACCCGTACACGTACCCGGCCGGGTACCCGATTGTGACCTCTGGGATGAAGCCATGTTGCAGGCGTGGGTGGGTTGATTCTAGGAACTTGAATTGTGAGAAGAGACAAGACGTTGGGAAATGAGTGACAAACGGTGACTCACCAGTGACTCACGGCCTACCCGTACCCGTACCCGGCCGCACCAGGGTCACAAACGGGTACCCATACCCGGCCGGGTACGGGTAGCCGGGTATCGGGTAGGGTACGGGTATCGGGTACCCGGTTGCGACCTCTGCGACAAATGCACGCGCACGGAGACACAACACGCACGAGCACACAGACACGAACATACACGCGCAGACACGCACGCGTGCGCCCACACGCCTAGACGCGCACACACACACACACGGACACACTCTCACACAAAGACAAAGATCCCCCGGATAGCTTTAAATTTTGGGGCGAGTGCTGCGCGCGAGTGGCGCTTACGAAGGCCGGCACGGCACGCAAGAAGGTGCGTGGGCCAGCACCATGCCGGGCCGCCTTTGCCTCCCCAGTGGTGCTGTTCACGGCCTCGCGCATGCCCACGCACGTACAAACGACAACCGCAGAGATCCCCCACCACGTGGCCGACACAAAATGCTCGGGGCGAGCGGCGTACAGGGAGCAGGATCGACGAGGGGCGGCACGGCGCACGAGAGGGGTTGGTGAACTTTGTCTCCCCGGCCGTGACGATTGCACACCGCGCAGAGCCTCGGTCCAGCAGCGACGGGAGTGCAATGACCGAGATTCCCGATTTCTCTCACCGCTGACATCAACCGTCGCGCCGGGAATTAGAATCCAGGTCGCCAAGTTCGTAGCGCGGTGGGTCAACCGCTGTGCCATCGCTCCCGGCGTGCATAAAGATACAAAGATCCGACGTATAGCCTGTACCAGACTGTAGGGGCAAGTGCTGTTAGCGAAGGCCGGCACTGTGGCACACGAGGGGGTGGGTGGCCAGCACCACGCCCGGCCGCCTTTGTCTCCCCATTGCTGAAGTTTTGCGCACCGCCCCACCTTGGAACGCTTCGGACATCGCTCGCCGTTAGCCGCGTGGTCGAGCGGCGCAGCGCGCTGACCGCCCGCGCCACCGCTCCTCGCGTGGGCACGCACGGGCACGGGCACGCGCGTACACAAACACGCGCACCCCACACACCACGGGGCCTTCCTTTCTGGCGAGCCGCCCAGACCCTCCGGCCGGAGTTAAAGCCACGTGCCGCTCGTGTGAGCGCTCACTCATGAGAGCGCTCTCGCGAGCGAGCCGGGCAGCTCTTTTTTCAGAAGCGACCTGGCCCGCCGAATGACGGCCCGACGAAGTGGCTCATCGCGTAGAAATGTAGAGCGGTAGCCGAGTTTCTCTAAACGCGCGACGTTGATTCTAAACGCGCGACGTCGATTCTAAACGTGGAGGGGAAAACCGGAGGACCCGGAGGAAAATCCACGCGGCCACGGAGAGAACGAGAGACACGCAAACTCTAAATATACAGCAGCAGGCGTCAGGGTCGGGATCGAACCCACGACCTCCTGTATACCAGGCGAGGTAGTTAACATCTCCTAACCACCATACACGTCACACACACACACTCGCTCGCTTCACTTCACAAGTCTGTCCAACTTCCTCCTCTTAGCTATGCCTCGCACCACCCCCGGCGCCCCACTCCGATCCCCCCCCCCACAAAAGCTCCTCCCCTCAGTCCCTATAACCCCACTTTTTCTGGTGGAACAGACACAGACCGGGATTGGTGCAGGGACATGGGGGCAGAGGGCGGGTGAAGTACAAATTAGCTTTTATTTTGTGCGGATAAAAGAAACAGGGTTCTACTTACCGCGGTGCAGCTGCGTCGTTTGTACAAATTATCCGGAGATTAAATTACGATCCGCCAAAGACGAAGGGGGCAAACAGTGAAACGTTCTGAGTTATTTTTCTGCGCCGGTTTGATTTTCGCCCCGGCGGTTAAAACAAAAAAAAAACTTTCGGAACTTTCACCCCGGCAGGTGAAATCGCGGGGGTGGAAGCTGTCGCGATTGTCGCGTGCTTCTGTGCGAGGGGCTGTGGCACAAATTCTAGCGACGATCCTACCACCACGCGCGCACACACACACGCACACACACACACACGCATCTGTGCGCGTTTCCACGTGCGCATGCGTGGACACGCAAATACGCACGGATGCACGGACACACACCGACACCACACAGACACCACCCGCAACTCCGATCGGCACGCCCGGCTACGTGGGGCGTGAAAGGCGTAAGACACGCACGACGTACACCACGCACGCGCACGGACACACGCACAACGCCGGTGCCAGCGCGGGTACCTGCTTGAACTGCTCCTCGTAGGTCCAGTCTTGGGCCTGCGACGGCTGGGGCCCCTCCGCTCCGGGCGACAGCGGCTGCCCGCCGCCTCCGCCGGCCTCGAACGCCAAGTGCCGCGCCACCGACCCTCCGGCCGCGGCCCCCGACCCGCCGAGCCCCCCGCCGGCCAGGTGCAGCGCCAGCCCCGCCGGCGGCGGCTTGGACGCGGGCAGCCCCGCCGCGGGGCCGGGCCCGCCCGGCGAGCGTCGCTCGTAGTCGCCCTCCTCCATCGCGTCGTCCCCGTCGTCCTCCCCCTCGTCGTCCCCCGGGTCCTCCTCCTCGTCCTCCTCCTCTGCGTCCTCCCCGGGGTCCTCCTCCTCGTCCTCCTCGTCGTAGTCGCTGGCCCCGCGCCGGCCCGGGTGCCCGTGCCGCAGCGGGTGGTAGCGCTCGTACCCCGAGAACTCGGACGGCGCGCCCGGCACCGAATCGGCGTCGCTGTCGCCGCCATCGTCGCCGCCGCCGTCGCCGCGTGGGCGATGCCGAGCGACGGCGCTCCCGGACCTCGAGCCTCCGGCGCCGCCGGACGCGACGGCCGCTGCGGCCGCGCTGAGCGCGGCGGCGCGCAGAGCGGCGTACTGCTGCTGCTGCTGCTGGTAAAGGTGCTGGTGCTGCTGGTGCTGCTGCTGCTGCGCTTCTCGGATGTCCCTGTCGCGCAGGCGCTCGCGCTCGCGCTCCTCCATCTCGAGGCGCGCCTGCTGCTGCCGCTGGAGGTTCTCCATGACGGCCTCCAGCTTCATGCCGTGGTTGGCGGCTGCCGCGGCGGCGAGGTGGGAGCCCCCGGCGCCCGCGATCATGCCCAGGCCGCCCGACGAGGCGAGGGCCTGCTGCGCGGGTGCGTGCGTGCGTGTGCATGTACGGGGGGGGGGGGGGGGCGGGGGTGGGGAGGTGGCGGAGGAGTTGGTGGGGTGGGTAGAGAACGAGGAAGGATGGAGAAGAGTTATAATAAATGAGGGTAGGAGAGGGAAAAAAACGAGGGGTCATAGGTGGATAGAGGATGAGGGATAGGGGATTGAAAGTGTGCGAGGTAGAGGAGGAGAGGGAGAGACGGAAGAAATTAACGGGGAACAGCCGGGATGAGAATGATGGAGAGCAAAACGGAACAAAGGTCGACCGAGAGAGCAGATGAAAGGAGGAACAGAGAGAGAGAGAGAGGCAGGAGAGACAAAGCGAGAGAAAATGAGAGTGCTCGCAAGAGGAAGTAGGTGGAGAGTTAAAATGAATAGCGGTGTGAGAGTGTCACAGCCATGCGGACAAGCGGAGCGAGGTGGCGGCGGGCGGGGGGGGGGCAGCGGTGGTGGAAATGCACGCGAGAGGGAAATTAAAAACGGGAACAGCAGAAATGAAGATTGAGACACGGAAACAGGAAGAGATGGGGGGGGGAACCACGCAAGAAACGAAGCGATGAAGTCCAAGGAGTGAGAGAGAGATAACGAGGTGGAGACGGTGAGGATGAGCCAACGGCAGAGGAGGAGGATAACGGCGGGAGGTTCGTGACGAGGGTAGTTGGGGGTGGGTGGGAAGTTTGCGCACAGAAACACACGGAGAGGGCATCCCGTTAACATCACAGCCACAGCGCTTCGCGCTGCAGCAGCAGCAGTAGCAGCGGTAGCAGCAGCGACAGCACCCAGGTTTAATGGTCTCGGTGGCTAGGAGATGTTAACTACCTCGCCTGGTATGCAGAAGGTCGTGGGTTCGATCCCGACCCTGACGCCTGATGCTGTGTATTTGGAGTTTGCGTGTCTCTCTCTGCCCATGGTCGCGTGGATTTTTCCCCTCTACATTTAGAATCGACATCACGCCTTTCTATTATTTGGCTGCTATAATTTTACACACGATAAGCCACTTGGTCGAGTTATCATTTGTGATAGCTAGATCGCTTCTGAAAAAAAGAGTTATACAGCTGAGTTGGCTATACCTGGTACAACAGAAAAAATACTTTCTAAAATAACATATATTTTAAATAAGATATCTGTAGGAGTGGTGGTGGTGGGGTCCACGGTTCGGAGGTCAAGGTTCTATTCAACACCCGAATGTTTTTGGCTCATCGTTCCGTGGTGAAGTATGGTCATACAACCGCCCATGGACCAACGCAGTACATGGGAGAGGGCTTCATCCAGCAGTGAACTGGACGCAGAGCTGCTTATTATTCTTACTGTAATATCGTATTAATTACTAACGCTAAAGGTGCACAAAACCTCACTGTGATATAATTCAGTTCTGTTTAATACACACCATCAACACACTGAAGGGTCAGCTCACTTAATAGCACGGCTTGCCAGTTTGCACTATTATTATTTTTGTTGTTAATCGCAGTAATTATGACGACTCCACCCTCCTAGGTGCACATCACGAATGATTAAGGGTAGAGTGCGCACTGCGGTACAGTTTATAATTGCCGAGCGTGATGACGGTGCCAATTGCTTATGTAATTATCATTACGTCGCTGCACTGATATACCTCAACGTAAAGCAGAGGGCTAATCGATGATCAGGCAACTCAGCGATCCGCTCCACTCACTCACCGGCGGTCAGTCACCTCCTTGTGACTCTTCTATTGCTACTACTACCACTACCACCGTGGTCACCCTTCCCGTGAATTTCAACTCATCGGATTCCTCCGAAGATTCGGTCTACCAGACAGACACCGACTGTTTTGTCTCAGCTGTACCCTGTTCAACCACCACCACACTGCAGGTCACAACACACTCACTCACTCATCCACACACACACACACATTTACCCACACTCCGACACTCTCACTCACGAATTCACTCACTCAGTGGCCACACCGCAGGTCACACGATTCCCCTTTCCGCTTCTTCCCTCGCGCCGCTCAACTTCCTATCCCAAGCTCTCACGATAACCTTCAACTCAACCTCGAGGAACGCACGGACGGCACAAACCCAGTACTCGCACGGTGCGCCAGACAGGTGCTCAATTAAACTGGAATACTCCCCACGCCCCCCCGACGCGCGCACATTTAGCGCGGTGCGTCCGGGGCGGTGACCCCGCCGGCAGCGGTAGCTTTGTTTTATACCGCCCGTTCGTAGGGGTTCGTGGTTCGGGTCCTGGTTACCACTACGGGGGGGCAGGGGCATCCACTGTAAAAATATGACGGCGCATTCCGCTTTGCAGTGGAGCTCAGAGATCCCGTGGCGCCGTTGCCGTTGTGGGAAAGGGGTCAGGTCATTGTGAGGGTGCAACGGTGTCTAGGAGATGTTAACTCGTTCGCCTGGTATGCAGGCCGCGAGTTCGATCCCGACCCTGACTCCTGCTGTATATTTGGAGTTTGCGTGTCTCTCGCTCTCCCGATCTCCCCGTAGTCGCGTGGATTTTTCTGCGGGCCCTGCGGTTTTTCCACTCCGCATTTCAGAGTGAACATCACGCGTTTAGACTAAGCTAAAAATTTCCCTGCGACGATAAGCCACTTCGTTGAGCCATCATTTGTGATAGCCAGGTCGTTTCTTGAAAAAGAGATATGGCTCAGTGGGCCTTACCTGGTGAAATAAAAATAGTTTATCGTTTTTTAAATAGTTTTGGCTTTACGAAGCGTGCCAGCGACACGCACGGTGCCCAAATCTTTTTCGAATCGTGAGAAAAATTACCTTAAAATGACTCTGGCCGTCGAACAAACGAGTCGTCGGCGCGTCGTAACTTGGCCAGAACCTCTTTGAAGAGGAGTCTTGGGACTCGTCGAAGCCGACGTGGCTTAAGCGAACGTCACTGGGCATCATTAGCTAATGGCACACTGTGTGGTTAAGTTGTAGTGATTGCGGAACGCCCGTGAGATGGGGCGAAAAGCCTTAATTATGATGATCGCAAATTACCCCACCGTGAGACCCACCTCGCAAGCCCGCCTCCGAGCAACGGCTCGCGTCATTAAGCTACATTAGCCGCGTTTAAATTGGATATTAATTATATCTATAGACACACATCGGGATCTCACGGTTTAAAGTGCGATACCAAAACACAGTATGTAAAGTCAGGATGTATTCATACATAACAGGGTTTTTTTTGGGGTTAGATCGCGTAAATATATAAATGTGTCGTTAAAGCTGCTACCACCAGCCGACACAGCCAATAATTAAGGTTTGTCACGGAAACAGAGCACGCCAATTCGTTACTAGTACAGCACACCGGTGTGTTGGAGAGCAAATCCACTACAACACCTACAATCTCTCCAAGACACTGGTGTGCTGTACTAGTAACGAATTGGCCACGTTCTGTTTACGTGACGAACCTTACTAATTGGCTGTGTCTGGTGGTGGTGGTGGTGGCGGGTTTAACGACACATTTATATTTTACGCGATCTGACCCACAAAAAAACTGTATTATGGACGATAATGATCGCGAAAGTCTACGCGTTAAACTCGGCATGTATTTTTTGCGCTCTCTAGCCCTTCCCCGAAGCGTGATTCCAGTCAATACTTAAACTGTAGCTTATTAATGCCGTCTTGGCAGAAGCCAGGGATTCTTTGAAATTCCCACAAAATTGCACAAAACTGGATTTCGGCGAAGCGGGTTCTACCTGTGGAGCGTTGGCTCGGCGGATAGCGCACTCCGCAATGTTCAATTCCCGGTCAAGGTGTAACATCGGCGGCGAACAGAGTTGCCACCGCGTCCGGGAATTGGCATCCGTGTTTGGATGGCAGGAATTGGTTTACATTATGAGACCTCCTTTACCAGTGGCAAAATATAGTAATAGGTTTTTACCCTTTCAACTGGTACAAAAACTGACACCTTTATACAAGGCATCATGTTTGCAATAACTACAACACAAGCAGTCAAAATGCAAACAAAAAGAAACAACTCTGATGATGATAATGATATGCACTGTCCTTGAAGTTGATTGGTCCACACCCGAGACAGGTTTTCATAGAGCCTAGTCTCCATTGGTGTTGGACCAGATAACGCCAAAAGGCGTCTTTTTGTTTGCATTTTGACTGCTTGTGTTGCGGTTATTGCAAACATGATGCCTTGTATAAAGGTGTCAGTTTTTGTACCAGTTGAAAGGGTAAAAACCTATTACTAGGAATTGGTTTGTGCCGAGATCTGGCAAACCGTGCCCGGCATTGCTGTGCTCAACTTAATTTGTAGATCACACACTCAGAAATGCGGCCGGGTTTGGTCCACTGTGGGAAAAGGTGGCAATCCTTGCGGCAAGTGATATCAGAACCAGCCTTAGTCTTTCTCACTTCCCCATTCACCAACCAGCGGCGAAGAGGCATGGTGAAGTAATGGTCGAAACAACCCTGTGACCGATAACCGCTGGATAGCGACCTTCCCTATGCTATGATTGAGAAAAGATGGAACTATTTTTTTGTGGACAATTTAAATTTTATTGGGGAGTTCAAACACGTAGGGATGCAAGTACACACTGACAAAGACAACGATTTCCCCACCCCACATAGCTTTAAACACCCTTTTGGGGCAAGTCTTGTTCACGAGTACCGATGAAGGCCAGACTGGCACCCTAGCAGCGATGTTTACACATCTCACCAGGTACTCATTTGAGGCCGAGTCGACCTAGGGGGGAGGCCCAGGACCCGCAAGGTTCGTCGCGCAACGCGCTAAACCACTGGACCGCCTCTCCCCGTTCACACGCACGAATATGCACATCCCTATCTATGCACAACGAATCCACGATATAAATAGACGACATGATCTACATCAGCAGACGAGACCATGTGCCTATCAGCCGTGCAGTGGCGCCACCACTTTAAGCTTCCGGTCAGACCGTGAACCCCTTGTCCAAAAAAAAACCATCACCACATCTATTAAGTTTCTCAACACTCTGGGCATCTAATTAGGCTGGGTGGGTTTAT